AGCATCAATAATGAAACCAACCCTCATCAAGCAACAATAATAATGACAACGAAGACGTTATGCATCATAGAAAAAATCAACAAGATGGAAATGATGTTTGCTCATCTTTCATATACACACACACACACACACACACGTCAGCAAGAACAGCTACAGTAACTCGCCGTATGAATTCTTCCAAATTTTAACTGATACAAAAACTTGAATCTTAATTTGAAAATGTTACATTATTTGAAGTTTCAATTGTAAACTAATTTAAAAAATTATCATTTTATGTCATACTGGTTAAATGGTTGTTCGTCTACAACTCTGTATTCTTTAGACAACAAAAATGCTCCAAACACCAAGAAATAATTGTACCAAAATTACTTCCTCGTACATTTTCAACGGTGGTTTGTTACACATATATGAAATTTACACCTAAATAGAACGTAACACTACATGTCGTCACATGCTGAAATAATATGCCTTCAAGAGAATAAAATCAAGTGCTATTAAAATGAATTATTGGAACAAGATTTGTAGGAAAAGAACCGATAAACAAAAAATTAAACAGCCATGTAATGATTTGGCATTTTATTATTAATTAACATTTTACTACTAATTTGCTCACTTACGAGTAACTGGACAATTTGCTTAACTAATGTTTTATTATTTTCTTGACTTAATCATTTTATTACTAATTTGCTCACTTACGAGTAACTGGACAATTTGCTTAACTAATGTTTCATTATTTTCTTGACTTATTAACTTAAAGAATTAAGAGAGATAATGTCTCTTTTTTCTCAGAAGTATAAACAATAGCACTTATTAGTTTTATGCGTAGTGAAGTTTAACCAACAAAGTTAACGGTTATCATCGTTTCACGACTGAAAATCTAAGCGATCATATTCATGAATTCTCTGGGCTTCAATTAAGTGAACAAATAAATAGTAAGTCAGGAAATCACTAACTCTTCGTTGTCGATGGAAAATGGAATCATTGCGATGAATTGGCAAGTCGGTTGAGGATAGGGAATTGATTGTTCCATTAGGCACTGGCTCCACAATATTCAATGATGTTTCTGTGAGATACCGAATCTGATCTTGGCTATTACTTGAAACACATTGTTGAAATTCAGCAGATTGCTTAAGAGGTACATGAGAATCACTTTGGTCGCGTCGATGTCCACCCATCAATTTCAAACAACTTCCTCTGAGGACCCCTTAATTTCTAAGATATAACAGGGGTCCCTTCTTTGTTATTCAAGTAGACTTCTTCAAATCAAGTTCTACAGTTCCTTATTGCCAATTATTATTGAAACTGCTTTGAATTGTTATCACTTTCCTGGAAATAGAACTAGATCGATAAATAGCACATGAACACAAAATACGATAAGGTATAAAAAAACTAAGCTGAAATTTCTATTTTCCTGTTTCTTTCATTTCATATTAAAACGATTCTATTTGTTTAGAGTGGGAAGTACCTAACTTGTACCTCCATTTATGCTTTCCTATATATTATTGCACGTACACTATGACACTTTTCAACATTGGTTTTCTTGAATATAGCAAACAACTTTTAATGTTATTCATTAACAAGTGAACTTTTTATAACAAAACAGAGATAAAGAAATAGAGAAAAGGGAAAAAATGATTCATTTATATGCATCAAAGACAACAAAAATTGCCCACATCATTCAAGCACGTAAGAAAATAAATAAATAAAGTATCACATTCACACTTTTGTTGACCGATTTTGATATAAACAAATTATGGATAAAGTCATTTAATAACTTTAGCAATATTTATTTGAAAGTGCACTTTAATAGCAAACCATGTAAGCCATCTAATTTTCTTTCTAGCAAATTTTCTAAAAAATGACCATCAATGGAAGAAAAATTTTCTGTACAAACGGCTTAGTCTACGGTACTGTATTATGCAGAAAGTAAGCATTAAGGCATAATGATAAAGAACTTAAATTTCGAGCAAGAAAAGTCAAACAACGCTTAATTTTCCCACCACATACATTATATAGATAGCAACAGGTTCGGCATTTATCAAAACATTTTGCTTTAGCAAAGATCAGTTAGAGGATGAGTCCACACAGTCATTGCTTTATTAGAATCAATTACAGCAGGAATGCATTATAAATTCTGGATGTCTTAACCAATTTAAAATATAATTAAATCTCGAACGCTTAAAAAATCTCAACCCTCAAATATAGCCATTTATCGTATTCTTGCACTCGTTCCTATGAATAAATTCATTAAGACGACATCATGAAGCATGCATTGTCTGTCACCTTTCAATGCATAGTTTAATTAAGTTCGAAACAATCACACTCTCAAATGAGAGCATAAAAAAATCGATTGGTAGCTGTGGAACACTTTGATTGTTATTGTTGAATGAGTGAAAGCACGAGAATAATGCTGAAGCAATCTACTTCACCTGTCCAGCATGACAATGTAACTTTTCCTACCCGTAAACCAAATAACCAAACAACCCACCCATCCCACCTTACCCACCCTAACCATAAACCCACCCACTTTTACGATCAACCGATACAGAAGTGCCATCGCGACGTTCTCTCAATGCCAATTAATTTCCACAGCCTCAAAATGCAAAAATTTGTTCCCAGTGACAATGAATGACTCTTCGTAGTGAGTTATATTTATATATATGTGTGTGTGTATAATTGTGTTTGATGATATAATTGATTGTATTCAGAGGGTATAACTAACTGGAAGTGAATTTTGAATTGATGAGAGAGAAATAAATGATGAACAATTGGCGGGATAATTCTAAATGGAGAGAGAGAGGGAGAGGGGGAGGGAGAGGGAGAGGGAGAGGGAGAGGGAGAAGGCGCATATGGTATCATATTGAATAGATTCATATATGCAAGTGGTAACTTGATAACAGGACAATGAAAGGATAGTGAAGGAAAAGTGGAGTGAAAACACTAAAACGGAACTAAATATACTATTTGTGCGGAGAGATTTGAATTGTAACTTCATCAATATAATTAAATTTTCATAGCATAGAGGAACTTTCATATTGTGACAGCAAATTCGAATGAACCACATAAAAGAGATCAGTGCGACAACCGATATTGTAGTCAATTCTCTCTCTCTCTCTCTCTCTCCCTCTCTCTCTTTGTGCATCCTTAAATGCTATTTATTAGGTTTCTCGCGAAATGTTCCGAAATTTGTTGTTAATAATTATCTGTCATATCATTCGGCGATGTAAATGCATTCATTTTGTGAAGTAATAAACAAACCTGAATTGGGTTGAAAGTTGTTGAAAATTTTCAGTTTGATTTTCGAATAAAAATTTTAAAATTTATTAAATTTTGTCAGCCATGGGGAATGCTATCTGATATATCGGGGATAGGAAAAAATGTGCAGAAAAAACGAAAAAGTTTTGAATTTTAATGCAAATGAAAAATTAAATCATTTTTTGCAATTTGGTTATATTAAATAAAAATAAAATTCGTAAGCGATAATGAAAGGATATATCGAAATAAAAATTTTGCAACTGAATAACCCTTGACCTTATCATCAAATGAATTTCTATATAAATGCTTGCATTTAGATGACCAAAAAATGGATGCCAAATAAAAATAAAAAAATGTGGAATGGATGAGATGGAGATAGAAAAGAGAAATGAAAGCGAAAAAAGAATTTGTTTGTTTTTTTTTATTTCTATCCATACAATTTAAGTTATTCAGAAAATATCCATCAGTTTAATTATCATTTATTATTTTATCATTTATCACTTATCAGTTATTTAACAACTAATAATATCAAGTTAGATTTTTCATCATGTTTACCACTAAAACGATACACTATCACAATGCTTCTCTCTAATCGCTTTGTAAATATTTTTTATTTCCAAAAAATTTGATAAATATTTCTCGTATTACTCTCATTTATTTGTCTATCTAAAATTATCATAACAATTGCTAATAAATATTTCTCTAAAACAAATTAAATTCCTTCTACATAGTCGACAATTTAACGAATACCATTCCAGTATGATTAGAATATGAAATTAAAATGTATGCCAATATTTTAAATAAATTTGAAGATAAAATGAAATGTACATTTGGTTATTATTATTTTAAAACCATTATTATTTTAATTGCATTTCAAAAAGTTTTTCTGTCCTAAATTTATAAAATCGGAAAATCTGTTAAAAATTAAAATAGACCAAAATGAGGAAGAAAAATGCGCCCCCATTTTTTTTTTTCATCTTTTTTATTTCGTTCATTGGATATTTCTATTTATGCAAAATAGTTTTATTTCATTCAATGAAATTATTTCTTGTTTGATTTTTATTATTATTGTTGATAATCTGTTGTATTTTGATTAGATTTAAATGAATATCACTGGATTAAATTCATTTTTTTATTTCAGTTGTGCATTTATCTCAGAGAGACTAAGCATGAAAGCTCAGAATATTATAAATAAATTGAATGTAAATTAGCACTTTGTTTGTAATCATTTTTTTTTTTTTTTTTTTGTTACTAAATTATTATTCTAGAACAATAATTTTGTTAAATGCTTTATATTTCAATGCTTAATTGATCGAATATGCCACACTTTGTGTTTGTTGTTTATCTATGTTAGAATAGAATTTTTCATTTTAAAATTTCTTAGCTTAAAAAATTTTAATTCTTTTATTACTAATGCCACATTTTCATAAAATGTAGCTAAATTAATTGTTTTTAAAAAAAAAAAAAAACTTTTGAATGATTCATTTGATTTTTAAGAAATGAAAGTATTGTATAACTTTCTCGAAAAGAAAACCATTCCTTATGTTAATAATTTGTGTCATAAGTTAACATAACCAAACAAATATTGCTTATTGAAAATATTTGAATTATTTATTGATACACTTTATAACAAAACTAAAATGTCAGAAAAGACAACTAGATATAAATAAAAGCTCAAACTATCAGTTAGTTCACTATCGATCCAGTAAATAAATCCAGAAAGAATTTATGGAAGTTGTATTCTTTCATGTTACAAATGATGGCGCTGTCTGAAAATTGTAAAATTCATTAGTGTATATAATAAATAATAATGTATTTTGAGTTTGAATCCTAGAAATGAAACAGTAAATATTTAACAATACTTGTCTAATTCATCATTTCATTCAGCTAAAGTAGGAAAAAATTTCTTTTTCAGGAAATTTGAGAGTAAACATAAATTAAAGATAGGAAAAAGGAGAAGAAATGAGGAAGGAAAAAGAACAATGAAAGCATTTTAAATGTTCTTTTTCATTCTGCAAACTCTTCTGCACTATTTTTTATATCTCAAATTTAATCATTAAAAATTGAAATCATCAAAACGACCAGATATAAGAGAGAGAGAGAAAAAAAAAAGATACGAGGAAGATGTCAACCTGATACGGAACAACAAGTTTACATTTGATCTCGTCATCTAGAGTCATCCGGTAACCACCTTCTGATTCACTGATCAATGGTCGAAAAGCACCAAAATCAGTTCCACCTTTAAGGTAGATATCTTGAACATTGAAAAGAAGTGGCATAATTGATTCAGAAGCGCGATCAAATACTCCAATATCATTTCCGGAACCCTAGATAATCAAATTTTTAATTCTGATTTTAAAAGAAATAGATTCAAGTTTATTTAACAAAAAATTTTAATTTCTTGTATGTATCATAGTATAATTCAACAGGTTACATTTTATTAACTAAGGATACCAGAAAGTTAATAAATATTGATAATGAATTACTAAATTCCATTTTGTTTCAGTCTGTGTGACATAATCTTCAATTTCGATTAGTTCAAAAATTTATAGCAGAAAGAATTTTAGAACCTGTGCATTGGCTATGACATTTCGTCTTCTGTCTATGATTGTACTGCCAGCTTTTTCGGTAGATGTCGGAGCAAATTGTCGGCTGATGAAACCGTGAGATTCTGGATCACAACTTGGCGACATATAGTCCAAATATTTCACATGTGGCGTCTAAAATCTTACAGCAATTTTTGAATGACGTTTAATATCTGTGTAGTTCTCTTTTCAGAAATGCTTTTAAATAGCATTTATAAACACAATTAATTTATATTCAAAATTATCAAAAGCTTATTCTATTTAACTTTCTGAAACAATTTTAAAATTGCAAATATGTTTATTTATCATAAATTATTACTTTTGTAAGAGGAAACGTTTTTCAAAATTTGGTTCAAAAAAAAAAAAAAAGTGAGATATTAGAAAATATAGTGGTGATTACTTTTGTAGTAATAAATTTTGCAAAGAAATTACCTGATTACGAATTTGTCCAAACAAAGTTTCCGCATTTTGTGGCTGTATTGCACCTTGCATTAACTTCGGAATGAAACGATTACTTTCTTTGATCTAAAGTAATAATAATTTCAGTTAATTTATTCAGAAATTTATGTGTAAATTCTCAAATGGCTAAAATAAGTCTGAAGTTTCAAACAATTTTGTTCAAAAATTTGTGAAAAATTTATGCAACTTATGTTCAAATTATAAGATTTATCAATACAAACAACGAAAAAAAAATCAAATTTTGATTGTATCTCAAATTTCATTAAAACAAAAAATTTTTGAAGAAAATTTCATTATACCTTAGACTCATCAAATTTATGGTTGTCAATAACATCCGATACATTTCTTCGATAAGATCCGAAAGGTAGCATACCGGAACGATTATCGCCAACCGCCTGTGAAAAGAGTGGGATGAGAGTTTCGGAATGAAGATCTCCCTGAAATAAGATAAATCAATTTTCAATTTTCATCGAAAATATTAGAATAATCTTTAAGATGAAAAAATTAGATGCATAAATTATTTTTGAACTAAATTTTTATCATTTATTCAGCATCTGATCTGTTTATATCACAACAGTGCCGTATGTCAGACTGTAACTTTTTTTTTAAAAAAAAAAAAAAAAAAAAAAGGGAGAAATGAAATCTCAAATAAAATGGAAAAGTGTTAAAAATGTTGAATTTATTAGATAGGTAAGGTTGATCAAAGTATCAATGGAAATTATCAGATAACATCTTAATACATTATTCTCGATAAAAAAAAAAAAAATAAACTAAAGAGCTAAGATTGAAAATGATGTATAATTAATTTTTTTTGGTTTTTTACCTCATTTGTATCAGAATATTATACTAAAAATCGGAATGATCATTATGAATTTAAATTAATTTTGAACTCCAATCATCTTATCATTTCGTATGAATATTTTTAATTAACATTCATAAATTTACGATGCATACCTGTACTAAGTGCTTGGAACCTTGATCAACCTTTATACTTGCATCTCGGGTATGTCCAAATGCTCCCATACCTTCTTGTGTTTGTAGTGCGGGTAGATTTTCCCATGGTATTTCGAATGGAATAAAAACGTCTCTTGAATTCGAAAATTTTATGATTATTCATTGTTAAAATTTAGAAGAAATATTTTACGAACTTTGAATGTCTGTTAGTGATGAAAACGGAATTTTGCTTTAAAAGTGGAGACCGGAAGAGAAAAAGATTAAATGCGTACAAATGTTGCGGTTTTCTAGCATATCGTTTTGTTGGTGGAATTTTTTCTTCCTTCAGAATATCGGCCAATTTCTTTTCATCCGGTGGCATCTCATATGGTTCTGGTGGTGGTCTAGGTGGTGGAATCCATTGTGGCTTCAATTTTTTCTGCAAAATTCAATAAACATAGAAAGTAAAATCGAAAAAGGACAAATTGTTGAGGAAAGCAGAAGGAGAGAGAGAGAGAGAGAGAGAGAGAGGGAATGAGAAAAAGTTTAAATATTGACAATGACAAATTGATTTGTTTATAGATTGGATGGAAATGATAGAATGTATCAGTTTAAGTTTAGTTGAAATATGAGAATAACTAAGGAAACCGGAAGAAAAAAAAACAGAGAATGAAGGATATTTGGGGTAGAGATGAATAAATAATGCAAATTTCGGCATTGACCTTTTTCTGTTTCGGTTTCTTCTTTGGCGATACATTTTCATTGTTTTCAATCTGTAAAATTATTTGATTAATTAGAAAATGCTAATTAACGCAGTCTTTAAAATTCATTGTTAGTATTTAATAGATAGAAAGGAGGAAAATTCAAATTTGGTGCAATAAAAAAAATTTTATTTAACGATCAAATAATTTTATTGTTACTCAGTTTGAGTGTTATCTGACGATCTTACCTCATTTTCGATTGGTAATTCTGGAACAGTGAAGCTTGTTTCGGAGACCTCATCCGGTTCCTCCGATTCATCTTGTTCCTTGTCGCTCGGTTTTTTTTTCGGTAGAGGTAATGTGGCATCAGTTTCTGGTTCAGGACTATCTTCCGTTAATTTAACCTTGAGGGGATTTTTAGGTTTGATTGCCTTTGGTTTTCCAGATTTAGCGCTAGGTCTCTTAGGCTCGGGAACAGAAATCAGTTCTGGCTCCAACTCTTCATCATTAGGATTTTCTGACTCTTCTTCAGATGTGGCATTTGGTTTTTTAGCTTCTATCTGTGGTTTTTTCTTCGGCTTCGATATCGGAAAAGTTGCATCTGTTTCAGGTTCCGGGCTACCCTCTGTCGGTTTAACTTTCAGAGGTCTCTTTGGTTTTGCACCTTTCGGATCTTTCAGCTTAATATCAGGCTTTTTCGATGTAGGTGCCGAAATTAATTCTGGCTCGAATTCCTTATCATCCGGTTCTTGTGGTTTGACACCTGGTTTTTTCTTCGGTTTTGATATCGGAAGAGTTACATCTGTTTCAGGTTCCGGACTACCCTCTGTTGGTTTAACTTTCAGAGGTCTCTTTGGTTTTGCACCTTTCGGATCTTTCAGCTTAATATCAGGCTTTTTCGATGTAGGCGCCGAAATTAATTCTGGCTCGAGTTCCTCGTCATCCGGTTCTTGCGGTTTTTTCTTCGGCTTCGATATCGGAAGAGTTACATCTGTTTCAGGTTCCGGACTACCCTCCGTTGGTTTAACTTTCAGTGGTCTCTTTGGTTTTGCACCTTTCGGATCTTTCAGCTTAATATCAGGCTTTTTCGATGTAGGCGCCGAAATTAATTCTGGCTCGAGTTCCTCGTCATCCGGTTCTTGCGGTTTTTTCTTCGGCTTCGATATCGGAAGAGTTACATCTGTTTCAGGTTCCGGACTACCCTCCGTTGGTTTAACTTTCAGTGGTCTCTTTGGTTTTGCACCTTTCGGATCTTTCAGCTTAATATCAGGCTTTTTCGATGTAGGCGCCGAAATTAATTCTGGCTCGAATTCCTCGTCATCCGGTTCTTGTGGTTTTTTCTTCGGCTTCGATATCGGAAGAGTTACATCTGTTTCAGGTTCCGGACTACCCTCTGTTGGTTTAACTTTCAGAGGTCTCTTTGGTTTTGCACCTTTCGGATCTTTCAGCTTAATATCAGGCTTTTTCGATGTAGGCGCCGAAATTAATTCTGGCTCGAGCTCCTCGTCATCCGGTTCTTGCGGTTTTTTCTTCGGCTTCGATATCGGAAGAGTTACATCTGTTTCAGGTTCCGGACTACCCTCTGTTGGTCTAACTTTCAGAGGTCTCTTTGGTTTTGCACCTTTCGGATCTTTCAGCTTAATATCAGGCTTTTTCGATGTAGGCGCCGAAATTAATTCTGGCTCGAGCTCCTCGTCATCCGGTTCTTGGTTTTTCTTCGGCTTCGATATCGGAAGAGTTACATCTGTTTCAGGTTCCGGACTACCCTCTGTTGGTCTAACTTTCAGAGGTCTCTTTGGTTTTGCACCTTTCGGATCTTTCAGCTTAATATCAGGCTTTTTCGATGTAGGCGCCGAAATTAATTCTGGCTCGAGCTCCTCGTCATCCGGTTCTTGCGGTTTTTTCTTCGGCTTCGATATCGGAAGAGTTACATCTGTTTCAGGTTCCGGACTACCCTCTGTTGGTTTAACTTTCAGAGGTCTCTTTGGTTTTGCACCTTTCGGATCTTTCAGCTTAATATCAGGCTTTTTCGATGTAGGCGCCGAAATTAATTCTGGCTCGAGTTCCTCGTCATCCGGTTCTTGCGGTTTTTTCTTCGGCTTCGATATCGGAAGAGTTACATCTGTTTCAGGTTCCGGACTACCCTCCGTTGGTTTAACTTTCAGAGGTCTCTTTGGTTTTGCACCTTTCGGATCTTTCAGCTTAATATCAGGCTTTTTCGATGTAGGCGCCGAAATTAATTCTGGCTCGAGCTCCTCGTCATCCGGTTCTTGTGGTTTTTTCTTCGACTTCGATATCGGAAGAGTTACATCTGTTTCAGGTTCCGGACTACCCTCCGTTGGTTTAACTTTCAGTGGTCTCTTTGGTTTTGCACCTTCCGGATCTTTCAGCTTAATATCAGGTTTTTTTGATGTAGGGGCCGAAACTAGTTCTGGCTCCAGTTCCTCATCATCCAGTTCCTGTGGCTTGACACTTGGTTTTTTCTTGGGTTTCGATATCGGAAGAGTTACATCTGTTTCAGGTTCCGGACTGCCCTCTGTTGGTTTAACTTTCAGAGGCCTCTTTGGTTTTGTACCTTCCGGATCTTTCAGCTTAATATCAGGCTTTTTTGATGCAGGGGCCGATACCAGTTCTGGCTCGAGTTCCTCATCCGATTTTTCTAATTTTTCCTGAGGTTTAACATTTGGATTTTTGGGTTCTACCTTTGACTTATTTTTCGATTTTGGATCATCTTTTGTGGGTTTCACAGGTTCCTTCATTACTGACGGTTTCTCTGATGTTTCTGCTGGTTTCGGTTTTTTAGTAGCTGGTGATGAAACTTTTTGTGGTTCTTCAGGTTCTCCTAAACGTTTAGTTTTTTGGTTTTCTGGTTCTTTGAATCGAATATCGTGGCTTGGTTTTGGAGGCTTTTCAGATTCCGAAACTTGTTCAGGCTCTAATTCATCCTCATCTTCAAAATCGGTATCTGATATCTCTTCCTGAAAAAGCAAAACAGTTCAGAAATGAACTGAGAGGTAAACTTTTTTGTTTTAATCGAACTATCATCACAGTTCTTCATTTCATGCTTACAAATTATAAAAAACTTAAAATATTTTAATTCAAATCCTTTTCCCAGGAAACATGAAAAAGAGAATTTTTGACAAAAAGGAAAACTTTTTAACCCAAAAGTTTTGAGTGATTTCGGAAGCAAATAATCTTGCGGTAACAACTAAAATATTAAAAAAATTTAAGATTGTTTATTGTTGAAAAATATATTGAAATTGAATATTTAATATTGAAAAAATTTAAGATTGATAAGTGAAACTTAAAAATGATTTCATTTTCATTTTAATAAATTTTCTTGAATTTTATTTATATTCCATGCTCATTGAAAGGAATCATAACGAAAATGAAATGCTCACTGCATCTGTTTATACTTTTCATGAAAGTAAATACTACAAGTAATAGTAGTAAACATGTACTTATCTAATAAACATGTGCTAAAATCATTTACAACTTTATGCATTTATAAAGAAAAATATTCAACGTTTTGCATCAAAATGTAATTTGTTTGCATTAAAACATTATTAAAATCTAAAATTCAAAAAGTGCAATAATATATAAATGTAATAATTTGTCGAAATTGCAATTAAACTTTCAGTAGTTTTAAATTAAATGAAGTTATTTGTTGTAAAATTACAAACCTCAACATCAGGCATTATGATATTATCATCATTATCATTAGAAGTAGCATCTGGAGTTGATCGATTTCTCTGAGATATCTTCGGAAGATCGAAACAAGGAACACCTGGCGATTTATCAGTGAGTTTTTGTGCAGGTTCACAAACAAGTTCACATTCCATTTCCTCTTCCTCTTCTTCATCTTCAAATTCCACATCCGATACTTCTACCTCAAATATTTAATCTTAACGATTAAATAATATTCTAGAAAGATAACGCATGCAAAATCCTAATTATCTCTGACAAATCATACCAAAATTAGTCGAGAATTCAACATAAATAGTATTGTTTATTCAAAATGATATAAAGATGATACTAGTATTAAAAACGGATTTAGAATAAGTAATGAAATTAAATTTATAACAAATAGAATCTAAACTTTAATTTTTTCTCAGATAACCTGAATTTTTTGGATTGTAAATTTGGAATTATTAGATTTTTTTTTTGGCATTAAATTATTACCTCAAAAATTTAGAAGTTACAAGTAAGATTGGAATTTAAAAAAATAAAATAAATTGAGTTAATGAAACAACAACAATAAAAAAAAAAAAAATTGAAAAACCTCTTCTTCGTCGCTTCCAACCATTGCTTATCTGATATTAGCTTCTCACTTTAAGAATGCCTCCAGCTCTGCCTGATGATTATAAATAGCACTTTACAACATTTCCAGCAGTACAAGCAGCAGCTGCGGTAGCAGTGGCGGTAGCAGCGGCGGTAGCAGCGGCAGCGGTATCATCTATGAGCGCAAAATTGATCTGTGCTGACAGCTTCACCCTCATTTCAGTCTTCTACTTATCCTTCCAAGAAAGTAAGACTTATCTTGCAAAGTGATACTTAGATTTAAGGTCATTCCAGTGGAAGAGTATGTGGTCACTCATTTATTTGCACATTTGACCATCTCACTGGTCACATTTATCTGTTCCAATTTATTTGTTTATATTTTATTTTCATAAAGTAATACAGAGAATAGAATTTTAACGGTGCAATGAACTGATTGCAAATTGTAATATTTTTCTTCTCTTTCTCAATCTTTTATAACTGTTAAACGTCAAAATTTTCACAATGCTTAAAGAAATGAAATCATTCACCGTGGAAGTAAGATATTAAGAAATTTTGATCTGAAATATTACTTTTTTTTGAAAGGGATTGTTGAAATTAGCGATGATAGAATGAAATGAATTGTAATGTTATCACAGGGATCACTAATCATATCTTATCAGCAGGAAGGAAGCTGATAGAGAAAGATAAACTATCACTCAAAAAAGGTTCATCGTTGCATTATATATCATATTTCAATTTCATTTACACTTATTTTCGTTTCAAATTTCTATGAATATGATATGACATGACATATCATGATATGATATGCTCTTTTATGTTAAACTTTTATGTCTGTTCCATCATATTTAATCATTTCTTTTTTCCAAACAATTCTACAACATTTCTAACATTTCATATCAGTTCTTGCAGATCTTTCAGAAATATAAACAAATTACATTTAATTTCTTTTATTATTAGATAATGTTTACTTCAAAAATTTGTTATTGAAATTAATTGTTCTGTAATTTTTCATTTTTTTTTTTGAAATTTGTAAAAATTTGGGAATAAGTTGTCGAGAGTGAAACATTCGTTTCCAATTCATATGTTAATTTCTATATAAATTATTTATTTATAGAAATTTATGTGATTGATCAAATTATATAAAAGTTTTTTTTTTTTTTAAAAAAATCTCAAAGAAGAATTAAATATTAACTAGAGAAAAAAAAATTAAAAAAAAAAAGCTACCCTTGCAATTAGATTAAATTTTCGTTTTAGTTTACCGAAATGATTATAAAATGAAAGTATTATTATTCTTTCTGAAGAAAATCTCTAACAAATAGCAATGTCACTAGTTAGCTCTTTATTTCGATTTTTAGATTATGATTTTTAGTCTTTTATTTCATTGTTTAAGATTTGAAAAAAACAAAACAATAACTTCTATGACAATAGAAACAATAACAACAACAATAACAAAGGGTTTAATATTACCACCAATATTACTGCAACCAAATCTATAACAAAGGGTACATTTCGTTTAAGGAAATTTTAGATTTTATTAAAAATAATTTTTTGTTGTTTTTTTTTTTGGATAAAAAAACAACAAAAAAATCACTTAATTATTTCTTAAATGAACACATAATTACAGGTAATTTATATTGTTATACAGTTCAATTTTTTTTTTTTTGACATAAAAGCAAAAAAGAAATTTAATTTTCCAAATAGTTAGGATTATTACAAAACGAATTGAATTATTTAGCAGCGTTGCAAGTAAGGTAATTGAAGTAGTTCAAACTTTCAATAATTTAAAGCGATTGGCGTAAACAATGTCATTCATATCTGTCCTTACTATGACAAAAATTTGTGCTACTCTTAAGATTTCCTGTTTCTTCATAAAACGTTGAATTTAATAAACAATTTGAATGTTCAGCATTTACTATCAATTATTTCATTATTTTGATAATTTTGCAAGTTTTATTTGAAAAAAAAAAAAGTTTGTTTTTGAAAAAATTTTAAGAAAAAGTTTAGCAATTGCTAAATAAGCTTAAAAAAAGTGTTAACTAGTTGAGAAAAATTTTATTTATAGTATTAATATCGAATTTTTTTTTGGAAGTATAAAAAATATGAAAATGTTTTCAAAACATATATTATTGGGGATAATGGAGTAATAGTTGAAAATGAGTGATTGGTTCATTATTTAAAATAAATGATTAATCAGTCAGTCAATCAATCAATCAATCAATCAATAATTCGTTGAAAGAAAATAGATTTCAGATCATTTATTTTAAATGATCAAAAGAAGGCGAAGGACGATGTCCAAGTTTAATTGTATTGGCCGAATATAGTCATTTACTACAGATGAACTGAAAATTAGAAATCAAAAACTTAAAAATGCAAAATAATTATTAATATTTTTTAATAAACTAGTATATTTGAATCAGCTATTTATTTCATACAAAAAAATTTTGTTGTAAACATTTATGAAAAAAAGCATGAAAATTCAATTAGTTCATCTTTGTTTATTTTTTGTTTAGTCATTTTACAATTTGTGAACTCTTAAATAGATATGATATAAAAATGTGAAGCGAAAAGTTTAAATTTAGCATATAAAAACTATTTCCTTTTTGCTACATAATTTCGACAAAGATAAATATTTATATAAATTTAACAAATTTTTTCCCTTCCTTACACAAATTAAAAATTCAATGTGATTTGGAAGTAAAAAGATTAGCATTTCCGGTAAATAAAATATTAGTATTTGCAAGAATTACAATATTCTTTATTTTATATTTTAAATTCAAATTTCTGAGAGATGCTTATATGCCACTTAATGATAAGTTAATCGTGGATCAATAAAAGTACAAGGAAAATGTTAGATTAATCTTTTCTGGTGAACAGCTTTAAAAAAAAAACTTATCACTTCAAAGAATAAGATAAGAAAACGGAGAGAAGAAAGAATGTGATAAGAGGAAAATTCATTGCTTTTAAATTTTAAATAAGTTTAAAAAAAAAAAAAAAACCAACTATTATTTCATTCAGGAAAAGAATGAAAATAAGGGAAAGTCAATAATTAATAGATTAATTTTTATAATTAATAGAATACTATTCATGTAATTTTTATTTTTAATTTTTTAAATTGAAATGAATGAATTTTTTTTAAAGTTTTTTCAAAGCGTTTCATTATTTTTATTAAATGTCCCAACGTTCACTGTTTTTTAGGCTGAAAAAGTGAAAATAATTAGTTGAAATTTGATAAAGTGCAATGGATGTCATTAAAAATGGAATTGCTTGCATCCTTGTTTTTTGATTGTTTTTTTTTTTTTGGAATTATTGTTAATAACTTTTTGAAATGCTATAATTTTCACTTTGATGTGTGAGATTGTAGGGTGAATTTCAAATTAATTAGAGAGATAGATCATAGCTTTAATTAATTAGAGACTAATTTAAACATTGTTGTTATTATAGACCATAAATAAAATTATTCATTCCAGAAATTTTTGAAGGTTATAATAAAAAAAAAAAACATTTAGATGGATAATTTTTGTAGTAGATAAGAGCAGAAAATTATCAAATTTAAATAAAGTTGGTTAGCAATTTTGCAAGTGCTAATTGCAAGGATAATCAAATAATTTAACTAAAGAAGTATTTATCTAAATAAATTCTAATTCAAACTTATGGCATTTTTTTTTCAATTTGTGATCAAAATGGAAGTATTTCTATCGAATTTTCTCCTTTCATTTCTAGCTCAAACATTTTGATTTTACTATCTTATTCATGCATTACTTACAGTTAAATTACTTAATTTAAGCAATAAAATAAACAATAATTAAATTAAATGGAGAGTTATCTTAAAATTTTCATCTTTAAAAGTGCATGCAATTACCACCAGTGCAACTGGATTAAAAAATAATTTATTTTTTAACTATCAATAGATTATAACAACTAAGAGTTTTGCTACTCTATTAAAGAAAACAATGAGTTTTTATAGACAAATTGAATTTTATTATATTAGCCAATTACTGTTTCAAAACAATGCGATTTTGTAGAAAAGTTTTGTAATGTAAAAAGCAAATTGTTAGTATTGATCTGTTTATTTGATATTTTCAGAATAGTAGTGATAAAATTTTGTTGATCCGTTTAATTGATATTTTACAATAGCAGTGATAAAATTTTATTGATCTGCTTATTTGATATTTCAGAATAGCAGTGATAAAATGTTATTGATCTATTTACTCGATATTTTAGAATAGCAGTGATAAAATATTATGTTAAGAATGTATTGTGTTCAATCAATGATCAGTAGTTCCTGTTCGACTTGAGCTTGCATTGCTACGTTTTGCAGTTTTCGAGTGCTGTTGATCAACATTATACGTTTGAATTGGAATATTTCGTGTCGGAGTTACTGGTGGAACATTCTTCTTCCGAGCTTTTATTTCTAGAATACCATTTCCTGAAAATTTATAATCTTTAATAATTTTTGCAGCTAATTATTTTTGATTGAATGTGACAGTCTTTAGTCATGTCACAGTAAGTGTATGCAATTCTTATCAAACAAAAACAAAAACTCTTCCTCAACAGTATATCTTACCATATTATATGCCTTATTATCGTATGCCTGATTACCGTATGCCTGATAGTTAATATATACGTTTACTATTTATATGCTTGAATACCGCATGCCTAATTACCATATGCTCGATTAAAATATGTGATTGCTATTCATGTGTCTAATTACCGTATACCTGATTACCGCACACTTGACTACCGTATGCCCGATTAATATATCTGATTATCATATCAAAAGGGATCGTTTTCCCTTTTTGCTTCACTGTTTTTTTATAAAGAACCTTTAAATTTCTATCAAATTGCAAAAGTAACCTTTCAAGTGAGAAGTTAAAGTGGTTTTATCGACGTCATCAGGCAACGTGAATCGACGAACGAAGTGTCGTTCAATAAAACCATGCTGATCACGTTGCTGCTTTTGATGTCCTTCAATTGAAAGTTCACCATGACGTAGATTAACTTTTAATTCGCTCGGATGAAATTGTGACACATCCATTTCAATAACATAATTTTCCGCATCGTTTGCAACCTGAGAAGAAAGGAATATGTGAAATTTTCATAAACATTAATTAATTTCTATTCATTCATCAAATTTTAACCTTATTTTGAGTGATAATTCAATATAAAACACCAATAAGAGGCAAAAAATACAAGAATTTAAATTATGAAATTTTCTCAT